ATAATAAGATGAAATGAAATAAACAAAGTACAATATAGGCCAAATTGATATTTTGAGAACTAAACACTAAAATTGATTGCTAAAGAAAGTTAGCAAATCGAGATTTGTAGGCCCTTATACTGTACTACAGGACTAGACTATTGTTTAAATCCAACGGTGAAAATTGTCCTCGAATCTCGCCAGGTAATTTTAATGAGGAAACCAGACAGGAAGTGAGAAATGTTAACATAGCGCAGTCGCAAAGAAAAATTCAACTTGACGTAACATGCATGTGACGACGTTAGAAGAGGCTTTGCCGTTCGAGCTTGAAAAATTCAACTTATCGTAAGAATCGTAACCGGCTTATTTTGTCTGCGGCCCAGCACGATCAAGACGCGGCTGTTTTTGTCCAACTTCTCGTAACAGTCGTAAGAATCGTATGAATCGTAAGAAACTCTGAACTTTACGTCGACAGGAAACCAGGCTTAAAGTTATCTGCGCATGCAAGAACGTTAAAGCGTGTATTCTAGGACGCAATTTGGCCAAATCTCGTATGCAGATAACGTAGGAGTGATTCCGTTTTAGCGTCGCGTCGTCGAACAAATCGAAAGCTCCCTGTGTTAAAAGTGCTTGTGTCACTTTAAATCCTTATATCCAAACACCTACTTCGACCTCAACGTTGTAAATCTGAAGTGATTGAAAGTGATGTCTGTTAACACTATCAAACTTTATGTGACAAATATGTGATATGCCCATATTCGTTTGTAATAGATAACTCTTTAATTCATTCATCAAAGAAATATATTTGATATAAAATAGACATCGAAAATAATATGAAATCACACAAATTTGTCACATCAAATTTGATAGTCTATAATTTTTTATGTTTAATTGTAATTAGGATTAAAAAAAAAACAAAAAAACTTAGTCCAATCAAAGAGTTAAGTGTTTTTGTAAACTAATAGAAGTGTTCGTATGATGAACTTCACATAAAGCCTTGCGGCATGTCTAAATACGGCAATGATGACGACACATTATGGGCGTATATAGGTACACCATTAAATGGGCATACAAAAGTTTTTCAAAAAAAATTTCATAATTTGGACAGAACTTAAAAACAAATCAACGTATTTCTAACATTTTTTGATCTGGGAATTGAATCATACATTAAAACAAACATAGGAGACTGAGCAAGTGTGTATTGCAAGAAGAGTAGTTATTATTATTATTATTATTATTACAGGTATTATTATTATTATTATTATTATTATTATTATTATTATTATATTATTGTTATATTATTATTTATTATTAATATTATTATTATAATTATTATTATATTATTATTATTATTATTATTATTTATTATTAATATTATTATTATTATTATTATTATTATTATTATTATTATTATTATCATTACTATTACCATTACTTCCTCCTCCCAGATTCGGTTCGACATTTCGGCAATGACAATGTCCCGAAGAGCTGGATCTAGTCCGATGGTTATGAAATATACCTACAGGGGTAAATATATTATCAAAATATGTTGGACCTCTGCCATTCAAACATTTTCGTACCATGGTCAATTCATGTTCTTCTCTTTTGTCCTGCAGTAAGGACTAATCGAGTTGCTAATGAAGAGACCATATAGCCCTATTTGCTCTGACCTTTGCTAAAAAAAAAAATAGCTGGTGCTGCCATATTTTGTGTTCTCTGTAGTCTGTCAGAGTTCCCTTTTTCACAGTTACCCCAAACAATATCACAATAGTCAAAAATAGGTAGAATAAGACTTTTGTAAAGTAAATTAAGAATATTTTTTAACAAGATAATGACGTACGGTATCCTACAGTGTAAAGAAATTCTTTGATTAATTTTGTTGATAGGTTGATGATTTGTCCATGATAACTGATGGTCAAGCCAGAAGATATTAAATACAGTTTACTGTCTGAATGGCAGAGCTACCAATGTGAGTGCCAAGTTCATCATTCAGTTCCTTTGCGTTTTCTAGAGGATCCAAAAAAGATTGCTTTAGTTTTCCTTATATTTAAAGTGAGTTTTGGTTAGCCAATTTGCAAACGTTGTGTGGTGGTGGATGAAAAGAATATAAAGTCAGTGTTGTCAGCATAGACTGAAACTGTGCACTGTGTGAGGTAATTAGGAAGGTCATTGATAAACATAATAAATAAGGGAGGCCCTAAATGGATCCTTGAGGAACTCTGTACC